GACGTTGGATACACTCGTAATCGACATGACTCTCGATAAGGAGGACGAGCACGCCTTCCTTCGCCGATAAATTCGAGACACCGCGAGCGGGCGGCAAAGAGTTCACGAGGCTGGCGTTACACTATACATATGTGTGTATTTGAAGTCACAAATGACGTGGCATGGGCAATCCATGCTATTCTATACACCGCACGCTGACGTATTTACTTACACGCGAACCCCGCACCCGCGTACATGTATAGTAACTCGCAGACGGGTTTCCCGTCTCGACACATGTGATCCGTGACCACATATTCGCAACCGCATCGAAATTCGTTCACCGCTGCCCGACGGTGTATACGCGGAGCAGACGCGTCGATTCGATCGAGGGCGACATCACTTACCCGCACAAATTAGTTTCCTGTTCCTCGGTGGCTTCAACAATTTCTTCGAGAAGAATACGATCCTCACAACCAAACACTGACATATCTCGTTGGTCCGTAGCACTAGGAATCCCGCCGCGCGATCCCACGTCTCAGCCAGCCGTCGTCGCGGCAGCGGAAACAAGACGACGGGATTTTTCGCACACTCCACCGAAAAACAACCGCGCACACCTCACGCCGTTCTGCGACGCCGTACAACTACGGAACTCGTAATCAAAAATTTTCCCCCTTCGTTTTTCTTTTCCTTTTTTTTCCCTTTCGTTTTCTTTTTTTTCCTCTAACCGCGATGGCACGCACCGAGATTCGTCCACGGGACAGCCACTCCGCGCGGCGCACACACAACGCCCGAACGCGTTTTGTAATGGCGATCTTTGGCGGGAAACAGCTGAGGGCCCCCACAGCGTACCACGAATCACTCCGCCGCCGGCTTCAGGGCTGTTACAATCGCGGGTCCAACGAGCACCCCTGCTTCCACGCTCGTCCACGCGACACCCTTCACTAACCGTCTAATTTTTTCGTGTAATTTGTTCAACTCGATACACGGTTTATTATTTATCTCACGTGTACGTTACACGATGCGACTCGGATCGATCATCGACGCTCCCTCCGGATGCAATCGTCGGGTTTAACGGTGCTGATCACGCACACGGGTAGAAAAAAAATTTCTGCAGCGTTTCTCCGATTTCACGGGAATTGTCGTTCATGGAATACGGTGGATACTTTGGTCGAGTACCGCGCGCGATATTTCACACCTCAAGCGGATCGTCCGATGAATTTCGTCGCGACGCGGAATGTTGTTTTACGTATACACGACGACGGAACTATCACGTGGCGGCACATACTACACATTATCATCCGGCACTCTTTATCGATGGTAATAGCACTCCCGCACTGCACAATGATGAGATACAGGTGTACGCGTATGACCGCACGCGATAGAGTACGTAGCATCAATTTTTGTACGTCAAGGGAGGAGGCGACGGGCGGACGGTGACTCACACGGCTATACGGTCGTGGACGTGCACGAGGATTCACGGTGTCGAACGCTCAAGAAACATTTTCAAGGCACTCGTGAAAAGTTTAGTGAACGCGGTTAGGGTGAACGCTACGCAGTACTCTGCCCTGGACAGCGACTCTCTTTGGACCAATCCCACACCAGCTCATCTTCGCTTTCACATCGAGTTTCTGCACTTTTCTGCAGGTAGTCGCGCGCAGGTCGTCTGTCGCTTTGTACCAAATTACTGGTATACCTAGCAGTCCCCTCGGCGGACTATTGTTAGAAATATTTAACGCGTTAGGAGGAACTACTTTCGTGTCGCGTAGGTTTACGCTAGAGGAATGGTGCGACCGCGCGGGAAACATCTGCCAGCTGGCAGAGGCCCCGCCCATGGAATACGCCAGTCTCCCCACTTCCCCCACTTTCCGCGAGCCTAACGTACACACGCAATGCTCCCGGCCATCTGTACATCTACGACCACGCGGCTTAACACACTACGCTGCTATCCTCGTCTTCATCGAGCTCTCCGCGCAATGTTACACGATACGAAAGTTCACAGTAAAAATTCGTTGTTGCTGCTTCCCTACGTATATATGCACGTATGATATATCCTAAACGGCCTATCATGCATACTTCTATACAAATACGTCACGGATGAATGGCAGAGAGTCCAGCGCACGCGACGCATATGAAGAATTAATACGTTAGAATTCGATTAATTTTCTTAATTGCTCGTTCCATTAGGTTCATTCTTCGAGCAATATTTCCTTTTATTTGAAATAAACCGTGAATAGTTATTGTTTATGCTCTGACGATTCTGAACGACCTTAATGTATTATTTTCGTTCAGAAATCGCATACTTTTTTCATATAACCTTATGCTATGTATAATAATTTTTATACGATAATGACTGTTGAAAAATAATAAAATGTACTTATCAATGTGAAACATTGGTTATTTACCTAATGGTTTTTCGTGAACAGCTGCAAGTAATTTGAGCTTAAATAAACTTGGAAATTAATAATAAATATTTGAAAACCGTCTTGCGTTTTCTATAATATTAAGAAAAAAACAAAATTTTATAATACGTATTCAAGAAACTTTCCTTATTTAAATCGGTAAATTCTGAAAAATCTTGCAGTTGATGCCACCTGTTGGTCGATGGTGGTACTCAGTAAAAGTAACGGAACAGCAACTGAAATAGACTCAGATGATTTAATATAAACAATGTACTTCCATCATTATTTGCAATTTTTTTACAATGTATGTGAAAAAAACATTTATTTTTTAATCATTCTCTCTTTACTTCTATAAAAGAAATATATGCGTGACAAACTTACAAATAAAAAGAGAGGAAATAGAGACGTTCTTTTTTTGTAAACTTAGTATTATCGATAAATACTGTTGTTCATCGTCAACGGCACAGTAGCATTTTGTTTATTTGAATATAGTGACGGGCTAAAAATAATATTTGGAGACAGTATTCATAGCTACTGTTTGTATCATTTGTTTATCCTAATAATATATTACATCATTAAAAATATGAAAGTTGTATAATCAATATTCAAAAAGGAGAACTATGAATACGTCTTAAATGCAGTTAAGCAAACGAAAATAACATAGACATCTTTGTCTGTTATTCATTAATCCGGAAAATGGTTATTTTGAAAATCTGAACGTTAGGCTTGCAAAATTGAAAATATAAATCATATCTTTCGTGTAAATTTTAAATGAATCAATTAACGTGAATAAGGACAGCATTCAAAGAAGTCCAAAGTCACGAATCATTTTTGTCAGTAATTATATATATATAAAAATTACGTAAACATAACGTTTATATAACTCATACAAGTGTTAATAAACAGAGAACTTAAGGATAAATAGAAAGAATCACTTTAAAATTGCATATTTTATAAGTTTTGTTTCATAGCAAAAAATGGATTTTTATAATTGAATTTTACATTAAATGTTGTATCATTGTAAATCTAAAACTCGTTTCAGTAACATATAAAAAGTAGTTATAACTTGTTTTCCACTTATGATATTAATTTTTTTGTACTGACAGTTATGTGATTAGTGTCTCTAAAACAAAACACAAACATTTTTCAAGTTTGTAACTGTGATACTATTTATAATGCCTCCCAATTTGTACATATTAATAGATTGAGAAAACGTTGCTACTTTGTCTTTGATTAGTAGACGTAATTATCTAATATTCTCCGAATTAATAAACTTCTTACAATGTTTGCATGAAACTGCATGTCAACGAAAAAGAGGAAATGTTTCATTGTACAAAAGGAAATTAAAATCTTGATATGATTGGCGCAATAAAATGTAGTTGCCTAATTAAATTTTTTCTGTCTAACGTTTCACGGACTAATTACTAAAAAAAGTGTTGGTACTAAACTAAATTAGTACCTACTGAGATTCCAAAACGTTGAATAAATAAGAAGAGTAATCGCGTTACTCTGACATACTAAAAATAGTATTTAAACAGTCTAAGACAAATTAGTCTTAGACTATGTTCGACTGGTTTGATTTATTGTAAGGATTATAAAGCTAGATATAGATACAATATCTGATATACAAATGCATCAACCACTTTCTAACAGTTATCTCTCTTGTACACTGTAGTTACGTTCCCTTCATTTTTTTCCTCAAAAAAATTAGCTATACCTAATATTGTGCTAAATGCTATATTTACAAGATCAGAAGTTGACTACATTATTTTTTTTAATTATGTACAGAAGTGTACCTGTTGGTTACAGCAGAGAGTAAATCAACAAATTTATTAAAATATGTAAAACTATTTTAATATCGCGAATTGCATTATTAAGGCAAATGTGATTAGAACTGTAATGAATTGATACCAAGAGTTAGTTTGTACTTTAATAGTCATTTTGCTATACCTTTACTTTCTATTTTAATACCTCTTTGTTGATTTACTCTCTTAATATTTCCTTTTTAAATTACATGCTTTTAATTTCTGTCCCTTAAAAAAAACGTTGTTAAATATACATTAGTCAATTTCCAAGTGTGGTTCATGCATCTGCAGACAATTTCGTGCAACATGAAAGCATGGATTTACAAATAACGGCTCCCCGAAGAAAGGTTTACAGAGAATAATGAAATTTGTTTAAACATTTATCAAAATGTACAAATGGAACATATGTGCAAAGAACTCCAATACCTCCGATTACCTACAGTTTTGTGTATTTCTGTGTAGCCAATTTTGATTTTTCACTTATTGAAATATGAATATTGTACATCTGTGATATTACAAATTAATTTGGATCAATTCATTCTAGAATGCACCTATTTAGTATAAAATATTATTAAATAATTCTTTTATTATTTTTTTACTATATATATCATGGTTATAATATATATTGTGTAATGTTTCAATAAATACACACGCCCATAATTATAATGTTCATTACCTCAAAAAAATAATCCAATTAATATTAACTGTTTTAAAAAGATATAAATATCTATTGAAATCAGATTTTTAAAAAAATGATTAGGTTATAGTTCGTAAGTTTTTACATCTTCCACCAAAACGAAATATTCTTCTTGATCCAAATTAATGCTATTATTTTTAGAGTCATAATATAATACCGTTATCTTTAACTTTCTCTCTTTCTTATGTATCTATACATAGATATATCTATATATTAGTATATTAATAAAGCATGTAACAAACGATGTCTGCGACCATCGTTAAATGTGAATTTCGTGTTATTTGAGTCTACTTGCCTTACCTGTAAATCCATGTTTATTTTTATGCAATGATGGAACTTATTCAGGGTATTAACTACATACTAGCTTTGTTATAATAATTTTTTCATTCCTAATTTCAACCTTTCCTGAGCTGGATTCACTTTGATTTTTAATTGCTGAATAAGATCATATATTTTTAAAGAAGGCCCAACTTTGAAACCTGTCAGGTCTATTATTTGGTCCTTAGTGAGTGTCAACAAAGTTTTCCCATCTATTTTACGTTTACTAAAATTATCGCAATATGTTGCACAATCGTTAACACGAAGGAACTGTGCAACATCAAACACATTCCATTCAGATGGCACTAAATCACCAGACTCAGAACTTTTCTGAACACCATCTGCTAGCCTTGGGATGTATTTACTAGAGGCAGACGTCACCTGAGAAACATAATTCATTTTAACAAAATACTACATAAATCTTGGTGCATAAGAATTTGAATTATACTTATAAAAAATTGTATGTAAAGTAGTAGAAATATCTATTCTTATGAATATCAGTAATCTGTTTTCATAGTGAAATCAACTATGACTTTACCAGCAGACAAGTAATTCTGCTCATTTTATCATTTTAAGATATATGAAATAAAATCAAATAAATTTGTTTCTCCTATATATCAAAAGTATTTCCGTAAATATTTATAAAAATATAAAAATTACAAGTTTCGTTCTCAAATCATTTTTTTATCATTTTCAATTTTTACACACGTACCGTAATTAAATAAAAAATATCGGAGTAGTCTTTAACTAATTGTAAATGTAACCTTGATTAAAATGAGGAATTAACGGAAATAAAATATTACCGAAATAATGCATTTTGGAAACCATTACTGTAAGATTAAGAAAGTGGTGTAAGAGTCTGCAAATATATACTTGATAAAAATGTACGAATATCTAAAAACGTGAATCAGATTTGAAAGCATAATAATATACGAACAATAATATTTTTATTAATAGAAATTCTATTAAAACGTATTACAGCATTTGTTTTCAAGATTTTAAAATACGCTACACGTGCAAGATAATTTGTAGTTTAGTTATGAACTGAATATTATTTAATATTACTCACATTGATGTACGATGTCGCAGTCCTTTCTTTCGGCGGTGGAGGGCTTTGTATCTCGCTTTGAGTATCATTTAATGTCTGACCTTGTCCAGTGGTAGGACTAGGTAATGTTTGATCAGGTCCAGCAGGCTCCTCTGCCGGCTCCGGTTCTCTATTTCTTTGTTCTGGTAAGCTTTCCACATCGCGTTCTCTTTCAATTTTTACCCCTTGAGCTGGCTCTACTTCACGTTCGCGTTCACGAGCCATGCTAATACGTTCACTGTGCCGAGGTAGAATGTTCTTCGCGCAGGATACTTTGCTGCTTTTTTTCAACTTTCTCTTAGCTTTACGTTTAAGGCCTCTTGGTGATTTTACTACGAATCAAGAACATGTCTTATTATTTTATTATACTTGATTTGACTAAGTATCACATCTCTTCTTAAAGAATGATATCACCAAAATGAAAAGACGCGAAAATAAAAAGTTTTACTGTAGGGAGACAACTTGATTTCTAACGGGACGGCACAAGGACAAGAGAAGTTTTTCGCTGTGTATTGTTTATAGTTTTCATTGGTTACGCATAACTGTTTACGAATAACATATCAGCATCGTAAGAAAGATAAGAACTGACCAATCAGACCTACATTCCTCATCCTAGCCATCAAGTGATCTCCTTACTGTACATGTATATGTAAACATAAAAACATTTTTTGTTTATTTACCAGTAGGACTAGTGTTTTTATTGAGTACACGGGGCCCTTCTAATTTATGATCAACTAGATCGCACCACCCGACAGGATAAATGTCAGGACTTTGACAATCTAACCACTGATCATATTCATCTTCCCAACCATCAAAGTGTACTCTTAATAACCTTCCAATCACCCTAGTAATAGTAGCAACACAAACTAATCTAGGATCCATTAAATCAGCAGCTTCAAGCCGCATTCCCTCAATAAATCCATGTTGAGGTATTTCCTATAACATAACTCGTTTAGTTAGAAGTTTATATTAGATCTGTTTAAATATTGAAGTATGTATAATTACCCTATTAAATAATTGCACAGGAGCAGGTATGGTATTTGTCTCTGTTAAATATGCATCCCATGTAAATGTTGTAGGATCATAACCCTTTGGTGGTGTAAGGGGTAAACCGTGTTGAGAACAAAATCCGATTGGAAAAATGCAAGGTGAACATGAATGATAACAAAACCAATCAGCACCACTTGCATCCTCGTCGTAACTATCTATACGAATCATTATGTAGTCATCCTTCAAAACTTGCATAACTGTTGCTGCACATATGGCAGAAAGATTAAGTGGGTCAATGGCTTCTATTTTCATTCCTTCTCTAAATGTGTAACAGAGATGCAAGTGATGGTTCTTTGGCACATAAAAAAGATCTTCTGTGGAATCATCTTCACATAATTTTGATTTCGATACACGTTCCAAATACTCAGGATACGCATCCAACGTCTGTCCTACCCTCTTGGCCCAGCCAACAGGATGTATGAGGGGAGAGTCTTCGTGGCACCAAAAACCATTATCCTCAGGTGGTGAGTCATAGTATCTTACATGTAAACGTTTCCCAACAATCTTTTGTATTGTTGCTACTTTTACCTGTGAGATTCTATTTTTATCTACTACTTCCAAATGAAGTCCGCATCTGAAGCGCGACTTCATACTATCATTAACTTTATTATAAAAATTAGTTGGCAGTGTTCTTGCACCGGTCAATCGCCTCATTAGAAAGTCTTTCCAGTCTTTGTATTTGTTAGCAATTGCTGTTAAAAATGATATAATTAAAAAGATTTACCCCTTGATTTTTGTATCTTGTATACACACTACCCTTTTGATATATTGTCTCTGGGTGTAAAAAAAACAAAGATATTGTAACATAGATTGTTTACATCATTCGAGTTTAAATGGCACGTATATGTAGTGTACGCAAGATACAAGTTAAATTGTAAATTTGCTTGTAATAAAAAATGAATATTTTATGTATTTCTATCATTAAAAATTCAATATCATAGTTACATAGAGCTATTGTATTGTATTGTTAAAAATTAAATTTCTAACAGTTATTTGTCTCTATTTGTGTAATAAAGTTTTCATTACATAGCATTGATTACTAATGGATTACTAAATTCTTAATTAAATTTACTTACTGTTGGGTGGAATTAAAGGTTTTCCAATTGTTGCACACCAACCTACTGGGTGTATGTCATTCGAACACAACGATACCCAGAAATCCTTATCAGCATTAAGCCCAAAACCTTCATACCTTAATAAAGCTCTATATCCAGATATACGTAATACAGTAGCTACCCAAAAAGAGTCTGGGAAAGCTTCACATACTTCATCACAATCAGTATTTTCAACTTCAACTTTCATTCCAACTGTTATATTATCCCATATCTCTGATATAGGTGCCTAGAAACAAATAAAACATTAGTATTTTTGACAAATTTAACATTATACAAATAAATTCTTATTTCCTGAGAAACTAACATGTTTAAAGCAAGATACTGGAGCAGCACAGAATCCAGGTTCTACAAGTTGTGGAGTCCAATCATAAGATCCTGCCATTTCAGCAGTTCTTTTCCTTCTTACAGGTAAATCCTCGGGCATCACTGGTTCAGATATAACCTTTTCTTTTTCGAATTCAATGTGATCCTTTATATCAGTTTCTTCTTTAATTATAGTCTAAAAATTCAAAACATTATACAATTTTTTTTTATAATAGCTTTACAAGTAAAACTTACATGTTTTATTACTTTCGATTCATTTGGTGAATTTGGATTTACAGATGTGGGTGCTTCTATGGAATGAGATGGACTATATGTAGAATCTGCAGTGGGAGCAGTGTGTTCTGAAGATCGTGCACATGCTCTACTGCAAAATCTGCGTTCTTTTGTGTAAAATGCATGTTTTACGCCAATAGCACCACATTTTTCACAAACAGCTGTAATTAATAAGTCAGTTTATGAACATCCAATTATAATTATTAACAATAATTAGTCCTTTACTCTTATAATCTTATGTTAAAATATAGAGTAACAAGCTCAGCTTGCATCAGAAGATGCAAAATAATATTAAATTGAAACTATGTAGAATGTTTCTAATAAGTTATCATATTATTATTTCCTTACTGTCTAATTAAAATATAGTAATTTATTAAAATAAAATTTAATAATTAATTAAAAAATCAAACGTAGTCATTTTTAATATATTTTACTCTTAAGATGATAAATATGGGTTACTTAAAACTATCCGGCAAGAAAGCTTGTAAGTTATGCAATCAAGGAGTACCTTATCTTCAAGTGCTGAAATAATACAACTTCTTAAAAATCTTGATATTGATATTTTTTATACAACTTATTTATCAAATGATAGTATCCAAAAGTAATTTCTTTTCAATGCTCATACTGTAAAATTATGTTCTTTAATATAAAACTTCTTATCTGCATTTTTTTGTTACAGTATAATTGAAATAAAATATTTAAGAACAAAAACTTTTCTACTATCAAGATTATGTAAAAAAAAAATTAAGAAGTATATGTATTAAGAATAATAAAAATAAAATGTAAAAAGTAATGTTTTGATGCAAAACAAAATTCTATAACTCACCTATACCATCTTTACGAATGGGAATAAAATTTAAATCTGTATGTGGCTGATACGCAATTGGGGTTTTTAAAACAAGTCCAGGATGTTTTATAGGTTTTATTTTTCTATTACGATTGTCCTGAGTAGTTTGTGTAGCTGCATTTGTTACGACTTGCTCTCTTTCTTCATCACCCATATAATCTTCTAATGTTAAATATTCTGTCATTTCTTGCCTTTCAGATTGAGAATCATATTCCTAGAAAAATATAAATAACATTGAATAATGTAAAAAACATAATAAAGAAATCGTTTATAAAAAATTAAAGTAAAAATAAAATAACTTACTTGTTGCATTTCTTGAACATCAACGGCCTCCATAGCTTCATCTGGTTCCGAGCATTCATTAGAAAACTGTGGTGGTAAATATCGTACCATAGTGGGTGCGAGTTGATGATTCCTAATGTCTTCATATGGATTTGAGCCATGGGAGAAAAATGGACTTTCAGCTTGACGGGGATCCAACATGAGTTCATGAGTAGGTTCTCCATGTACCATCATATCGCCCATCCATACCATCCCTAGTTCCGGTAATCCAGGGATGGAGGCATACACTGAATTCATACAAATATCCATTCCTATATTCACATAATGATTGCAATATTACTCTTAGTCAGACTGTGTATTAAGAATTTGTTGCGTCAAATAATGCAATGATTAAATTAAACAATCAACAATTCTATAGCACAAAACAGAATAACTTTGTAGAAATAAATCGGTTTTAATAAAATTAAAACACTCATTAAACAAGGGTGTCTCTCATACAGGAAGGAAAATTTCTTTCATAAAATGTACGTAATCTGAGACATTAGGTACACAAAACTTTTCAAACAAACGTTATTGTATTCAAATGCCATCCTGTATCGTCTAATATCTAAAAGAAACTTAATATGATTTATTTCTCAAAGCGACGCCGAAGCTTTGTAAATCAACATTTATTCAACCTTTTCCACTGGGATACATTTTTCAAGAGGTAATGCTTCTCTTTGCAGATACACCATATCCTGTATAAAGTATTCAATTCCAGGATCATAAATTACGATGCAATTTAACGCGCGAAGATATCACATAGCGTAGGAAAACAAGTACGAACCATTAGAAGCTTGCACGTCCATGACAAAGCAGGGCTTGGAAACTCCTGTGTATTCAAGTGGCGTACAAATTGTTACGCCATCTGATTTGAACTGTCATTATTATAATGTAATCGGCGGTATATATAAAAATTTTTTAATTATTATTTAACAAAATTAATTTATAACAAAAATCATTAAAATATAACGTCCAGAGTCTGCTAGGTAATAAATTAGGATTAAAAGTTTGAAAAGATACTGAATTAATTAAACTTCAATAATTGACAGGCAAACTAGAATGATGAATTTCAATGTATTATTGATAAATAATTTATAAAAAATAATAATTATTTGAAATGGTAAACATCAATAATATTCTATCGCATTCCTACGTTTTGAGATCTAGTTTGAAAAACAGTATTCCTATCTATAGCACAATAGTTCAAGATGTAGATGGCAGTATCAGGCGAACGTGATTGTTTTGTCAGTAATGAACTTGTTTGAATTATGAATTTTTAATGTATTAAGAGTTTTTACCGTTTACGATGTAAATTTCACACTGGTAATGATATTAATATTAATGAGTAACAATAAAAAATACTTATATAAATGTAAATGAACAACGTTGCAAAATGTTTTTTCAAACATTTATTTAATTATCGCTATTAAAACTTAATTTTTTATGGTCGCATCGTTATATTCATCTTTCATACAAAACTTTATTTCAGAGAATGAATCGATAAAAAAGTTGCATATAAGGAATTCATTTTGATTTTTAATTATTTTTTCATTTTCTCATGTTGATTTTATATGTATTTGTTAATTTTGTGTATATCTTTATTTATTTATCCTTAACTATTTTGTATATTTTATTTCATACAAATATACATTTTTTGTTTCGAATGTGTTCATACTTTGTATCAGACTTAAAATACGTATAGACCTATCATTGCATAGAAATTCTGCCCACTGTTTTGTATTACAAGCACAAATTTAAAATTTGTACAGACGATATACGTAATGTAACTTTCTACCTACTGTTCTGACATACCGACACTGCCAAAACTGCCCTAGGCAATCAACTACTGAATACATGAATTTATAGCATAAAAATTATATATATATATGTAATTATATACATATATAGTAGGGCTGTCAGCTTTAAAAAAATAAAATATTTCGGTGTCTTAAAAATCGAAATTGTATGAAAATAATTAAAAACATACGAATTAAGCGTTCAAGTGATTTTACTTATTCCGTTTGTTTTTCGATATTGGCAAAATTTAAATAATATAGTGTAAGTAAAGATAAGTCATGAAACTTTCAAATAATTGTTGAGTGAGTAAGGAAAAGATTCACTTTAAAATGTTTACGTTAGAAACCTTTAATAATTTTTGTACGAATCTAGCATTTGAAATGTAACATAGTATTTTTTAAAATCGACAATATTGTAAAAATTAGTCACCTTAGAAATTAACTACATAATTTTGTGTTGTAGTATTATGTAGTGCATTAATCGGCTGCTCTGTTCATATAGATGCCGCTAAGTGTACTAAAGCATTTCTCACAGTGTTGGTAAATGGGAGCCATACATTTAATTGAATGAAACATCTGTATGGGTTTTGAGTTTATGGTTTATTCTTCGTATGTTTGTGGTATCACCTGCATTACCTACATTTACAAATTTCGACGATCAATATTGTTGATTAGGTTCCTCTAAATTTTCTTTTCTATGGTTTTTATTTCAATTAATAACTAATATCTAATCTAATTATAGTAAATATAAACATATAAAAAAATCGAAATTAAAGCTTTAGCACAGTATAATAAAGTTCTTATTTCATTCTTAATATAACATGAAAACAATAGTTCGCATAAAATATTCATAATCTATTAATAACAATTGTTATCGTGTAAATACAATCTTATTGTATATTTTAAGAAATGATTTGACACCAGTGACATGTATTTTTAGCATTAGTGTTAACATTTAATTAATGAGTTAATGATTAATAATATGCTAATTAATTAGTACGATTTAACAATATCTCCTCAGAAAGTTGAAATTAATAATCTAACAGAGCTGAAATAAGTTTTTAATAACAACCAGAATAAATAATTTCTTTTTCTGTACTATGTAGATACTTGAATAATCAATTAATCAATAAATTATTCATTAACAAGGCCACAATTAATAATAATTTCATTTTGAGAGATTACAGTATTTTTATCTAAAATGATTAATAGAGATTTTAATTTTAAATATTGTTCGTTCCATACGTTGCTATAGCAAGCAGATGGGGTTAACTTAGCCCAGGTTCAAATACGGAAGATAAAAATCCAAACGTCACTGACGTAACTCATTTGCTTTATGTTTGAAATATTTCTCAGTCGAGTGCGATGAATCTACAGTAAAAATGATACTAAAGACATGCACACGTATGTAAGTATCTACGTACACAGAAGAGAAAATTAAACGAAGCATTTTCGTATATACATATATACATGACCTTGAAATGTAATACATTGTGAAGTGCAGCCGGCGGCACACATTATTACACGTGGGATGAAGTCATTGACCTTAAGAATACTTTCCACTTTCTACTTAACACGATCTTGTTGGTTGACCTCCTTTACTCATTCCTACATTTCCCTTCCTCTTTCTATAATCACAGGTATATTATGAGCTTATAAGATAATCCTACATAGATTAAATACATATGTAGTCATTAACAGACGAGATACAGAAAACAAAAAATTATTTAATCTAAAATCAGTGTTATTTGTATCTCTCATTTCTTTTGAAGACTTTGTTTGCGATGTTTGTTTACAAAGACGTTTGAAATAAACCAGAGATTACGGTGAATACATTGCTCGAATGAGATGTGCTCATTTTTCCAATTTTAATAATTTATACCAACACCTATTGGTAACATTGTATTAATGGATAAAACCTGATATTACCACTATTTTGTCTTTGGAGGGAAAGAATTTATATTCAAAAATCAAATACATATTACTACTACTATTACTACCACCAGTATAGCGTTTCATCAAGATCTGACAATATCATATCATATAAGTTTTATCTAAATACAAATTGTATTTTAAACAGCGAACTATTAACATTTACAGTAAAAATGAAGGTATAAAGTTAATTATAGTCAACTTGTTTTACCTGTGATAAATATTACAGTAAATTTGCTGACACAGAAAGTATGACACTTTTTATCTTCATGTTCTTTTGTCAAAAAATACTATTATCTGTTACGCATTTTTCTATGCTACCTTATTAGACGAGTGCGTGAAAACTAAGTCTCCGATTTGTTGTAAGTATGAGCACGTCAGCCCGTGAACGAGCATAACAAACTGTTGAAAAGGAAAAGGATGTGGTTGGCTAGTGTTCTCCGTTCCTTTTGCCATTTTGGTTTCAGCGCGATCACGAGTCATTTCTGAGGTCGCCGTTGGCATAGCTTAAAACAAGTCGCGTTGAGATTGGTCAAGGTACGACATCGTTCTAGAGTTGATTGCTACCTCGACCCTTACCCCACCGGTCTTCGCTCCCCGCTCTTGAGATTTCTAGTTGGTCCATACCCCCACCATTGTCGTTCGACCTCTTCTATCTTCGAACTCGTTGATCTCACCACGGCCCCGACACTGTGCGTCCGGAGCCACGTAAATCGTGTTGACCCACGTGTCTTCACAGGCCCGTCTTTTGTACTTCCTGTGCCTCCCGCTTTAAAAATTCTTAGAAAAATTAATTACAGCACTGTGCATTAGATATTGCACGATATATAATAAACTATACCATATACAATCTATAATCAAATTTCATGTCTCCATTAGAACACTCAGACACCCCTTACTTTTTTTCATAAATACGCATCGTACGCTTTACGAAAAATTTAATTGCACAATCGCCTTTGCACACTTTGTAATATGTACTGTAACGACATTAACTATCTCTCTAACTGTTTAGCGTCATTTGAAATTTCTCTGATCAATATTTTAAATCGCTAATATTCCTTCGCTACTGTATTATTATGTAATTATTTTTTTATACCAAAGGGTCTTCTTCCGTATATACATATATGTAAATAAATAAATGAATAAATAATATTTATAAATTGAAATAAAAAACGAAGCATTTTTAAAACAATTTTATATCATAAGATGCTCCATTAATATAAATGATTGTCTCCCAACTGATACGTTACATGTTTATAAATAATAATTAACGTCGTTTTTGTTGTTAAAAATAACACATATCAGTTAATATATCGTTAAGAAAAATGTCATTAATACTAATGGTGCACTTTGATTGAAAAGAGATTATTGTTTTGATACACGAATACGATGATTCTATGTATCACACAATCTAAAAATAAATATTCGTCTATTTAACGGTTTCACGGAAACATTGCATAAACAGAGGAAGATATTTTACAGCGATACCAATCGTGTTGCGCAGTTGCACGCGCAATTGCAATTTTAAATGTAAATCTTATCTATGTCTACGTTAATGACATTGAAGCATTTTATCCTTGGAATGCACTTTAACGTTATCATTGCGTAATGTCTTGTATAATATCCTAACATTTGTTACTATCTTTTACCATTGAAACGTATTATTTTCTACGTCTACATTTAAACGTAAAATGCAGTAATATATAACATATACAGCAATACTATTTTAAAGCATATATTATAATAAATATTTTTTACATCTCAAATATAATAATTTACAGGCTGTATGAATAAAACTTTAACATCCATTTTCAACGACACTGCGGCGTGGCTTGATGGAATTAAGTATAGGATTCAGTGGATGGTTCTTATTATCTACGAACTCATATCAACGTAGGGCCGCTATCTTAACATCATTCACCATTGAAAAGTGAGAAAAAAATAAAACAAAACTCTTTAGACTTTGTAATGCTGATAATTCATTCATTTTTCATGTTTTATAAAAATTCAATTTTCCTTTTTCCGTTTTCATTTAAGGATTATCGATTCTAATGGTTTAAATGAATGGTACAAAATTATTATACATTTTCATTTTGAATTACAGTTAAGGAATTAAATTAAAAAAAAATTAAAATGAATTTCCACGTAATATTCGAATTAATTTATAAGAATATCAACTTCTATTATTTTTATTTTTCTAGAGTTAAAATTAATTCCTTTTCTTGCTTTGGTCTGGAATTATTAGAAACATTGTCGATTGTATTGTAGATTTCACCATAAAGCGTCGCAATCATGGTGGCAAAGGTATGTGAGACTTCCTAAGAAGCTTTTGCCAGAAACCCGACTTTTGCCATAAAATAAACATAAACTGTTTCGGATAATTTCTAATTCAGTAGAGTCCGCTGATATTATTGAGCTAGAATGTAAGATAAATACTTCGAAAAGTACCATTTATCGGATCATTATAAACATTCCAAATATCATAAGATCTGATAAGTTGCGCACGGAGCAGCAAGATTGACGTTTGTTAGAGAAAACACGAATAGATGTTGGGGAAAGACTAACTTTTCTTTGTAAAATACACAAAATTATTGTACTATTTAAAATTATTTTAAATCATTTGGCGAGGAAACAAAAATTTTCTTTTCGATTATTAAAAAGCTGCGGATTCTTTTCTGGGAAATTATTAAATAAATAAATTTAATAATAATCCCATAAGTATGCTCTCATAATTTCTAGAAAAAATACGAAACAATAATTTGAGTTAATGATGGTGGCATGATTTTACAAAACATTTTCTACGAACGAAATCTTAACAGTTGATCTGTGATTACTTAGGCTAACTCTTCACATTGCGGAACATTGTCAGTACCTTTCATCTTAAATAAAATGGAAAGTAATAATTATGTCAAAATTTTAAATTTTATTAATTAATATTTTAAATTAAAATCAGCAAAAGGAATCTTATATTACTATACATCATTTCATCGCGTCAGAGAGCACAACTATTAGTGATTTTCACAAAATGACACGTATGCTTTCTTTAAACCTAAATCTTATTAAGTTATTATTAAAACGTTGAAAGGATAAAAATAGTAATTATCCAAGCTCAGGATAACACCAGTGAAATATAATAAAAGAACGTCATCATAATTACAATAACACAAATAAGCACAATAACATTATTATAACATAACATTATATACAATAATCGTAGATAACTTAAATAGCGCAAGCTCCATCCAGGACAAATAAAATAATATTTTCACAGCCATGTCAAAACCATTTCTTTAAATTAACAAATCTAATACCAAAATGGTATAAATATAAACAATATTGGTCTATAAATCAATATTATATTAAAACTCCTTAACAGAAACTAACATCCGTTAATTTTTTAAACTCGCTATAAACATGATGTATTCTTGGAGCAAGTTGTATCTGTTTTCGAATCATTTTCGCGTGATTTAAATTTTCCTAAGTCATGAGAAACGTCTTTCCGCTGAGCTCCAATATTGTTAGTGCGGCAGCCGGTGTGGTTGTCACTGACTTGGTGTCGAGCGCGTATACGGAAAGTACGTGACACGCGACACTCAGAAATATTAACACAAACAGGGGCGCGTACACACGCGCATGGGAAGAGTATTCGACAACACGCCGTGGCCGTGGTTGTGCTGGCACACGCGGCGTCCAATGCCCTGTTCGGAGGCAGCCGTCGTGGTTTCCACCCGGCACACGTGCACCGCTCGCACTGGGTCATTGCTCCTCTCCGTTCGAAACCAATATCGTTGTGGCGCACGACACTTGTCTCGAGCATGACCACGACGACACCGAATGAAATTTGGCCGTTCTGTACGACTCACGCGCTAACATAAGTTTAAATGGAAAGAGCCGCGACACTGCTTTTCAACTCAATTATCAACTCTACCGGAACTTATTCTATTTTTCGCACGTAATTTTCATTCTCATGGAACAATACCTAAGAAACTACAAAGTGTATGTAAAAATAAAACAAACGGTGAACATTTTTATCCTGACCAAATTAAATCGTTTCATTCAAATAATATATATTTATCATTGAACAAGTAATTTTCATTCATAAAAATAAATGAAGGAGATAAAGATGAATATACAAAAAAAAGAGAAAAATTACTAGGAAGAAGTACAACATCGTGGTTTAATGTAGTATTGGAACGAAGGTATCGTGAGCGCAGGAAAATTAATCTGAAAATACATTGTACTTCCGATATGAATATTTGACTGCTGATAATGAATCTGTGATTAACGAAGCTTATCGTAACGAGTCGTGGCGTCACGTACGCGTATATAGTATGTGTACGCTTACGTCCCTGTAGACCGGAGATATTTTCATCCTTGTCTGTCGGCCAGTCTCTGTCACGCTCCCGACGCGAATTGCGGGGTCGGCCGAAACCACGACGGCTACCTCCACGTGCTGCGAAAAGCACTTAGTCGCCCTAAATTGTAGGTCGCCGTCGTGGTCGCGGTGGTGGGGGTAGCGTGAGTGGTGGGGCGAGGGTCGAGCGCGACACTTCGGCCATGATCGATGATTTCCGTCGGCGTTCGGCACGGCCAGGCGGTAAACATTGCACAGTACGATTGGCCGTGTCCTGAGGTGGGTCCTTCGGTTTTCAAGTTTGAGTTTTTTGTCAGTGTTCAACTGTGAGAAGTGACAAACGTACGCGATATGCGTTAACGGAGACCCATGCATTTCGTTTCTGTGCGTCTCGTCAATTAATTTCCGTTGCTCCGTCGATCGGTGATTCTCAACAGAACCATGAGAAGAAATGTGGTGTATATCGACTGGACAAGGGTGTAGCAGGAGTAAGACAGGTGGGTGATTTTGACGTTTCTTGATTTTGCATTTGGACCTGCTCGATTTTGGTATTAAAACTTCTATGAATCTCGAAAAGAATCCAGATGCAAAAATCCCTGTTTGTAAACACTCATCCCAGAAAAGATATTATTATATTTATCATTTTCTAATCTATTAACATTTTTTAAATCTCAATGATACTCGGGATGATAGTATTCAATGATTACGACTAACCGAAAAAAAATGTCATTTTTTTCTGTGAATAGGAATAACACTTTGACAGGTACGCTATTGACACGAAGTACTCAATTTCTTTCTAAATAAATATTAAATGATAAAATTTTTGGTCCTATTGTAGAACGATTAAAAAAAAAAGTACTCTGATAATTTAATTTGATGGTGTTCGCCTTGGCCGCGAACTTCGGTCACGTTCGAGACGTTGTTTTCGCGATCGATTGTATTTTCATATTCTTGAGGTATCATCGATGTCAGGAAAAAGAGAGAAGAGAGTGAGAGAGATCACACGTAATGTGCGAGAGAGAAAGAACACGATAGATTCTCTTAGAAGAGATGATATGTATCGTAGCCCGTGATGTAACTCAACGTCCTTACTGCGCTGCGAGTTGCACGAGGTCGGTGATCGCTATAAAAAAATGCGGCGAGTGCACGTGGAGGCAGCAGCAGGCGGTTTCCACCGCCGCGACGCGTCGCGGCATTGCACCACCGCCGACCACGACGGCTGCCTCACGGAGTGAGTCGCGCGCGTGCAGGTTTAACCCAGCCTTAACCTATTCTGAACCGACGACCTCGTAGGAACGTGCGATCAACGTCAAGCATCTTCAATAAGCCTGCTGCCAAATCCTTCCCATTTAAATTTCTTCATTTTCTTTCGTTATTTCAATATAACAACATTTCATCGATTTTGTTATTACTTCTCTATCACATAATTATATAACAACACAATAATTGGATTACATAAACAATTGTTTTTATTATATTTACTCGATCTTATATTCCAAAGTATTTCTTCCTGTTTATCTTTATAATTCGTAAATAATATTATCGATGAACTTTTTCACAAGGGATATTTCAAATATCTTCAAGTTTTGGAATTTATGAATTCCTAATATACTTGGACAATATTGTTAATTATAAACAAACATTTGCGTAAACATTTTCATGCTCGGCATGAGATTTCTATTGATGTTTCTATTGAGCCGTATCATTAGTTAATGTTGCATAAAAATATTTCATTATATTTGTAATTTTTGCAATGTATTCAATGGAGAATCCTAATTTCACTACTGAAATAGAAAAATGGTTCATTTTTTCCACTCTTTCTAGTTGGTAATCTTTGATAACTTCTCTATCGTAGAGAGAAAGAGAGAACTTTTATTTTCCTATTCCCCTTAGGCAGACAAAAAAAATGAAAAGGGTCGAGCGTAGCAGGTTCGTGAGTCGATAATACACGATTTATCATAGGCCCTGTAGGATCGGGGGATCAGGGACGAAAAGAGAAGTTGCAGGATGCGTGTGCCTGCGTGCGCGTGCGTGCACGCACGGGACGTCCCACGATTCGTGGGCGTTCTTTTTGAGCTTGTAAGGGGCGAATGGTGGGGGTTCGAGTAGGCCGTATTACCCCAACGTATCGGACCAGCGCGTATCAAGGCGTTTACATACAGTTTCGTTTACACCTAGGACGACGTTCCTAGAGTCTTCACTCTATCTACCTCATGTCGATCTACCTCATCGAGTCTTCCAATCTTTAATTGAATGTATTGTTATTGTTATAGTACAGGTAAAAGTAAGCAACGATGTATAAAATTCTTTATTTTTCATGTCAAATGAAATATTATTACATTATATATGAAGTAAAACAACTCCAGTAAAAGCAAAAAATTATTTTGAAGTTCCCATACAGTAATGATTGTACAGTAAATTTACATGTTCTTTGAATACAACATTTTTAAACAATTTTTCGCTCAGTTTCAAAATGTTTCTTCGCATGGACTTCTCTCCGTCTCTATTAAAACAAACTATTTTATTTTCTATTGTCATTAAGGCTTTGTCCTTGTCAACTGTACTGTAATTTATAAAATGATAATTTGTGTCGTTTCGTTTCAGATTTGCAACTTGAGAACAAAGAATGATCGGTTATTATCAAGTAGAGCAAATGCCAAATATAAAAACGATGTCAATGAGCAGCGAAATGGTGAACTTGGAGCCTGTGAATCCAGTGAAGAGTCTCGTTTGTAGCCCGGATTTAATCGTATTTGCCTCTCCGACCTGCGGCGCCGAAACTCTGTCGGCAAATGTTGAAGAGAAGCCGTACCAGTGTCTCCTATGTCACAAAAGCTTTGATCAGAAAAGCTTGTACCAGAGCCATCTGCGCTCGCATGGTAAGGAAGGTGAAGACCCTTACCGATGCAACATTTGCGGGAAAACTTTTGCGGTGCCTGCGCGGCTAACGAGACATTATCGGACACACACGGGGGAGAAACCGTATCAGTGCGAGTATTGTAGTAAATCGTTTTCGGTGAAGGAGAACTTGAGCGTGCATCGTCGTATTCACACGAAAGAACGACCGTATAAGTGCGACGTGTGTGAGCGCGCATTCGAACATAGTGGTAAACTGCATCGGCACATGCGGATTCATACTGGAGAACGGCCACACAAGTGCACTGTGTGCTCAAAAACGTTCATCCAGAGTGGACAGTTGGTAATACACATGCGCACCCACACCGGAGAAAAACCTTATGTTTGTAAAGCTTGCGGCAAGGGATTCACATGTTCAAAGCAGCTGAAGGTGCATACCCGCACGCACACCGGGGAAAAACCGTACACATGCGACATCTGTGGCAAATCGTTCGGTTACAATCACGTATTAAAGCTGCATCAGGTAAATTATTTATAGAACTTTACTCAGTCGATATTGAAGGATAATTTTTGAAAGTTAGAAGCAAATCATGTTTCCTTAATACGTTGACGCCGGCGCTTTTTAGATTCTGTTTAAAAGAAGGCATGTGTGACCCACCGGTGGGTCACGCCGGCGTCAACGTGTTAAGAAACGTTTATATTTTATTTTTTTCTATGCATCTATGTTTAAAGAAATTTTTTGTTTATAGTATGATAAAATATTTTAATATTAATATAATTGTAAGTTGCAACACGAGATTTCGGTTTGATTTTCTAATATTCCGATCCCTAAATGAAATGTTTTTAAATTTCTTTGTCAACGACTTTCTCGTTAAAACGTTATTTGGTAAACGGTTTTAGGTTGCTCATTACGGCGAGAAGGTTTACAAGTGTACGCTTTGTCACGAGACTTTCGGTTCGAAGAAGACGATGGAGTTGCACATAAAAACCCACTCGGACTCGTCTGTCGCTGGTTCTCCTCGGGACTCGCCAATTGAGTCAGAGATCAAAATCTCAGAAGTATATAGCTTAGGCACTGCCAGCGATAAGGAGAACCAAAAGACTGATGAGCCAAGCGACGATGCTGCCACTTACAACGCACCACGGGATTTCTCATACTATATGTATTCCAGAGAGCAATATTCGCAACCCATTGCGGCGCCCAGTGAAGACAAAGTCTTCCAAGCGATACCTGTTGTCCCTATGGAACAGTCTCATACGTTTATATACCAAGAAGTGTCTCCAACTTACAATAGTTTTAGTATCCCGAACAACGACTTCGTCAGCGACTGTTCCTCCTTCCTAAATCTGCCAGGGAACGACGCTCGCAGGCGAGTGGAGGCTGCACTCGAAGCGGTTGAAGAAGAAAGGCAAAGGGAATACGAAATCAGGGTTGAACGGGAACCAATGTTAACACCGCCTAGCAGTAATCCCGTAAGTCCTGTACCTTCGCCAGATCCTCTTGACTTGGCGATACCCGTCCGAGAAACGTTAATTCTCCCACCAAGGAAGAGGTGCAAGATGATCTTAGAATCAATGGAGAGCGAAAGGATCGAGTTTGTTGCTTCCCAGAGACAGAACTCTGTTATTCAATTTGCTAAGACTTCATAGTGGAAGAGCTCGGATTCAGTTGTGGTGAACTGGTGATAAGTTCGCGTATGGTAAGACACAACCTTCTAAATAATTATGAAGGGATAAACGCATACCGAAAGTTGCAATGGGATAGAAAAATCATCGACCGATTATATCGGGAGATATTTCAAATTTTAAAAAGAAGCTTTGAAAAACATGTTTTAATGAACTATAAATTTTGGATTACGAAGGCGAACGAGTTCTCGCGAAGAAAATAATTTTAACGCTGATTCTGTGTTGTAATGCAATTACAGCACCAACGGGAGTAGCCACCGCTAACGGAAAGTGACTTAGGGAATTCTGTACCGATTGATGATCCGAGACACTTTCGTCGGCGTGTCATGAGAATTCTATCATTAATAGGTATCGGGTTTCTTTGAACTTTCAAAAAAAAATCTTGGAAACTACGTATAAAATATGTTTGATCAGTTTTATCGGCAAGTTATTAACAAAACTTTCTTTTTTAATTGAAATTGATGAAAGTTTGAAGAAAGTTGGATACTGTATTAAATATTTCCTGTGCAAGTTTTTAAACGTATCAATAGAGCAATCTACAATAATTAAACTTAACCGAAAAAATAATTCGAGAGTTGAGTCGTTCGTTGTATATGGAAACGTGCAGATTATTAAACCAAGGCTATAGGAGAAGAATTTGAATATTCTTGCGAATAATGTTACATCTACACTTTAACTAACATATAAATGAATAAAACTTGAATAATAAGATAAATTTATAATTGGAAAATAGGAAAATTAAATTGAAAGATATGAAATACAACATTTTTTTCATTGTGTCATTTATAGTTCTAACTTGTAAAATTTTCAAAAATGACAAATTAGTATAACTCAATACTGTTGTTCTACAGTTAATATTTATGCAAGAAGCATAAAAAATCGCGATTTAATGATTTGTACGATTTTGTGTGAGAGCGACTTAAACAATTCATAAATTCGCCTGGTTCAAAGAATTATTTATATAATGTGCCTGAAAATGAACGTTACACGCCTCGAGCCCGCCAGCAAATTTTTCTTAATCGTTCGAAAACCTTCAACGAACGCAAAAGTATTTACGGTTTCCAAGTAGCGCCAAGCGGCAATCAAATTGTAAAATTCATCGATTCTTTCAAAATTAACTGAAAAATGGTTTCTTAATGTTTCGGAGACGAGCTTGAACTTTAAACTAACAACCAAAAGTTGAGAGACGAATGAATCTAAGAGACGTGTTTAGAATGTCCTTGTGTCGTGGAAAAAAGACATGATTTGCTTTGCTTTGCTTTCTTCAATATTTAGCTGGCGTGCTCTATGTCATTTTTTTCGTATTTCACGTTACGTATACGTGTCTCAGATATGTGTGTAAATGCGTGCATGCGAGTATGTATGTTAAGTTGCAACTGTTAGACTACAAGTAATAAAGATCGTGAATCGTTGTAGCGTAACTAGCATCTTCGTATCGGAAGCCTTAGAATGAACGTAGTCGAGACCATTTTTAAAAAAATGTGTTATTCGCACAATCTTTTCCCTCGTTTTAGAAACGTTTTTTTTTTAAAATATATTATTTATTTCACATGATTTGTTTTATAAACATTGTTGAAGCGCTTAAGAAATAACTCAAAGCAGGGTAACGACTGCGTCAATTATTTTGTCTTCTGTTCGTTTTGATATCCTTTGGAGGAGATTAAAAAATTAAATACCATATAGGTGTCGATTAGTTCAAAGGCTACGCAACTTGTACCGAAAACAGGTTGTTTTCGTGGGTTAAATTTGAACGTTGTACGTGTTTTGTGTATCGTGAAATTTTTCAATCGTAACCAATATTCATGTAACAAAGATTCCAATTTCTTGCCAAAACTGAAAAGACTGATACCAGTCTGACAAACATTTTCGTTCAAGCGTGACAAGCTTCCCATGAAACGTAGTTTATGATGTATAGACTATGATAGATAGAAGTGATATTAAAACACGTAATTGCTCAATTTCGTCGTCGTTAGTTTGTTTACGTATTATTCGTTTAAACAAAAAATTTAATGCATTCTCTTGAATCAGTCACCAATACTTTCAAACAAATTAATAATTGCCGTTCGAACGCAAACGAGTTTTTTCCTGCATGTAAATTTATTAGAACTAATCTAATTTTAACAATGATTCGTACACTATGTTTTTCTAAGTTATTTATCTTCTTGAAATTTCACTTTTGTATGTTTCAAACATCTAAGATGACGAAATTCGAATTTATTTGCGTTATTAAAACCTTCGATCTATGGACGGATAGTTATCAATCACGTTAAGCCCCCCCCCCTTTTTTTAACAATAACGATCCGTTAACCAATACGTTGTAAAATTTTGCAAAAGAAGCCTTAATATTGATTGTAGAAAAGTTCTAGCAAATGGTTAAACTCTGTCCGCTTTATTGAATTTTCAAGACCTAGAAAGAAAATGATTGCAGCAATAACACAGTAGTTTGAAGTACAAACTCATTGAGTCAAGATGAGTTCATGATTCATTGAGCTTGGGAGGGCAAAAAGAATTGCAAAATATGTATATTTAATTACTGGTATGGATTAGTATTTGCTACTCGAGTAAATACAATTTTCGTGAAGCAGATCTTACTGGAATAAATATAACTGCAGTTTCTACCGTGAAAGTGAAATCAGCGGGGAAGAAAGTACCAAACAATTGATATCTCTGTGATAAGAACTCCATAATGCCAGAGTATTGAGGGGAGCTATGCCCACTGCCAGTACAAGCGTGCTAAGCGTGTCAGAGCATGCGTGCAACTTTAATACTAAATATTAAATCGTATTATCACGATTAATAATTTGTGGCCATCTGTATTTACATTTGGCTTCACACCAATAAAAAATAAAGAATGTTTTATAAATTGAGGACTAATTTTAACAGTGGAATATAAATATAAATGTTTAGCAAAGTGCATCTATTCAAGGTGGATAGGCATGCCTGAAATATGGATATCTGATCGTTTGATTCTTAAATTTTGAAAAACTATAGTATTACTTAATATTCTATGTTCAAGTTACTTCTATCAGATCTTTTTATACAGAAGTGTGCAAATTATTAAATTCAGTCTATAAAGATATGTAAGAAATAAGAATCTTCTTTAATAAGTAACATTTTATTTACAATATTTATACATTAATAAAATATTAACTTAATCAAAATATGTTTCTAACCAGAGTATAAAGATTTAAACAACATTTTATACAATTTCAATTAATTTATTGGAAGAAATAATATGAAAATAAATACATAATTATTTAACAAACTATTAATACTTGTTTGTAAAAAAACAGAAGTTTGTTAAAAAAGGAATTGTATTTTCCTTATAATTTCTTGATATTTTTATGAAAATTAATAACATCTGAAAAACCCGCAGAAGTTTATTGCTTTGCACACTTCTATCGTATCTTGGTACCTCGGTGCTGTTTACTCGAATTCACCGAGTTAGTCGATGCACTTTGCAGTCGTATCATCTGCTTATTTTTGATCTGCAGTTTATAGAACAGCTTGCATATACATTGAGCCATGTTCATATTTTAACATGTAATGTAATATTTATATAGGAGCGCATGTATATTATGTTTTCTTTTGTTTCTTTTTATAAATGGAAATTTCGACACGTGGCCTATTCTAATATTCATCGAGTCGAACGCTTTAAAATGTTCGAGGCGGTTTTTCGTTTGTCACCCGGGAATTGTATCCCCGATGATCCTGTGGATCGTGTGTGACGTAAAATTTATGTGCAATCTTAATCTAAGTTCTTCGAATGCTTGGCTACATTTCAAAGGAAACAAAAGTCATTATCCGAATAATTGAATACTCGGGTTTTTAAGTGTAAATTTTAATGATTGTTGTTAGCGATTTTCGAGGCGCCGAAGACCGAACTTGAAGATAGAACTTTTCTGTTCGTGTTAATCCCATCGAGTATATAAGTAGGCCACGTTGTAACATGTCAAGTAAAAAGAATGCGAATTGTTAAATATTACAATAATGACGAGAAATAGATTGAAACGCGTTGGGAGGTATCTAGTGTAATATTGTAGTTATTATCTGTTATTACTTATTATTTTTAAGACACACAAACACATACACACAAATGCATGCCAGATGGGACGTTTATTGTTCTATCATCGTGGGCATGTGGAACTGATTACACATGAAAGGAAATGCGTTTCTTTTTTGTAGAAATTTGATGCAAAAAAAGGAGAATAGTAAGAGACTCTTGTAAGAGTGCGTGAAGGACCGTGAAAATATTTCTTCTTTGTTTTTGCAGTTGTATGTTTGATTTGGTATACAGATATATAGGATACCAAAACACAATATTTTACTAATAATACGATTGACAGACAAAATGGAAAGAGAAATTTTCCCGTCCTCGAAAGAAACTCACCGCAATAAACTCAATTGTAATCGTTTTTAAAACAGAACATTATTATAATGTTTTCTTTTGCATATTGAAAGGAATTTCTATGAATTGGACGCATTACTATAGGCACCAATAGGCACTAATGATTGTATTTCTTCGTTTTATTCCGCCAAAGTGAGCGTGAATAATTTTGATAGTCAGCTTCCGACAGGAAATATATTTATTTATTTAATATATATCTATGTCTATATATTATATGCAAATGTATTTTTGCCGAAGTCCGAAACAAACTGTCGTGTATTCGCTGCATTAAAATATATTCTATCGTAAATGGTGTTTTGAAATTTTCCACCCGATCTCCATCATTATGAGTTATAATAATAAAAGCATGAGTACGAAATTTTCATAGAATCCACAAGGCATTCAAGTTTATTTATTATATTTTTGCATTTGATATTTTTTTAAAATTTCTCTATTATATTGTTTCATTCCGTCATTCTTGGAGGAAAAGACTATTTGTAAGTGTGCGCTAATATAATTCAAATGGAACTTTGAAACGAAAATTAAACTATTCTGACTATTTATTAGCTATATTAAAGAATATTTGATAACTGTTTTAAGTATTAAATAATTCCATGTCTGTTTGTTATCGCGGGGTTTAATGATCTGAATAAATGTTTATGCTAACGGGTAGATTTCATATGATAAAAATACTAATCATTTTATAGCATTCTCTGTCGGTAATGAGGATTCTTCAGCCGCCAAACAATTGAGTACTTGCAGCCCTCTGGTTGTCATTATCGGTAATTAAATTATTTACTAGATAAGAAACTAGATTAAGTCACTATATAAAATTATAGGTTAACATCCTATTTTCATGTAGAGCGACAATCATTTCACTCCGGAGAGAAAGTTTACGAACAATAGTTTGATTTACTTATACGTGGGCATAGAGTTTTCAAATGAACATACCGATGCGCCGACATCCCAGTTTTGTGAACCCATCTGATAGGATGTAAAACGTTCGTGTTCAATGGAGTACGGTAGTCCGACTGATTGTTAGAAGCGTCATTGGAAACGTTGTTTCGATTGAAATACTTATATTTATATGTCAATAAAATTAGCAGAACGCGCAACATACCTGAAAAATATCTAGCTAACAGAAAAGGAACGTTTATTAAGTAAGTAATTGTGCGTTACTTTCAGATGACGGGAGATACGCGCGTTTCCTGAGTAACCATAAATCGAGCTATAACTCGAACATTTCTGAATAAATATTTATCACAGATAATTGATCAAATCGCTTCTTATCATTCAAAAAACTCGTATAACCATTAATTATTCATATTACATGGTAAAATTTTCTCTATTTGATTCGAAATATTTGTCGTTATTTACTAGAGTAATGATTAAGTAATTGAAAAAACAAGAATTGGAATAACTCCTTTGAGGCTATATAATGCAAATACAGAGCTTATTGAACAGACCAAGTTGTACATATCAAAAGTTATATCTATTGGTCATGAGTGTAATAACAAGTTAATACAGATACTATATTTCTTATGAGATAACTGTGCAGTATGGTTTACTTTATTTAGTTCACTTACAAAGATTTCACTAAAATTTGTATTATTATTAAATTATAAACTCTATAGACAAATTACTTTGAGTCATTGCGTTAATGTTCATTTTTAGAAATGAGGAGAAAAAGCGAAAGAAATAAAGCAAAAGGGACTCCGGAGAAGGAAGTTGGAAAGCCAACTAGAAAGTCAACACGTAGACGAGTGAAAAGAACACATTCTATGTCACCAGAGCAAGAAAATGTAGAGGAAACAGCAAAAAATATCAGTGATAAAGAAGTAGAGAAGAAGTCAACTGCGCTTACACAGCAAAAGAAGCAGTTGGAGGATACGGTAGAAGACTGTGTTGAAACAGTTTCATCCACAGAAACAGATGTCAAGATGAAATCTGAAGAAAATGAAGAAGACAACGACGGTGGATCAGTTTGGAAAGTGGCGAGAGCAGATGCATCGCCTGGCGAGATACAGAAGCTGAAGTTATGTAGACAACATAACACAACAGAAGCATCGTCTGATACTTCTTTGGGTAGGAAAAAATTGAACAAGTGGCAGGAAAGTGGTGAGGGAGTTGCGGAGGAGGCTGACTCGGCAGAAGAGCAACTGGTTTCTTGTACAAGAACGCTCAGTAGCACTGAACAGCCGAACGATCCCTCCTCTTCATACCCAGGTCAGGACTCCAACGAAGAGGTAAGTGATAGCAAGGAGATCCTGCCTGAAACCACTTCAGCCAACTTGTCTGACGATAAACCAAACATAGATCAGCAAGGTGAATCAAAAGAGGCAAATATCCCCAACGAAAACGCTGATAACGAACCCATTCAGTCGAGTAGCACAACTGTATCAGCTCCTAGATCAAATGGCGATCACTCACCCGAGGAGACAAATCTTATGACAAAGGAAGAAAAATCTGTGGAAGATACCAGCGAAAAGTCAGCAGAACTGTTTAGTAAAGAAGTTAATGTTGAAAACATTCAAAAAGATACTAGTACCGACGAGGAAGATGAGAAAGAAAAAATTCGTGAAGAGAATTCTTCATCCGAATCAAATGACGACGTTCAGAGTGCAAGAGGTAACAGGGCTAGTGGGAGAATATCGTGCACTAGTCGTAGAAAGCATCGGACCAAGTATCGAGATTCATCTAATTCCGATACACCAGATTCAGAGGATGAACCTCCTGTTAAAAGAGACATCGAAATGGATTCTTACATGCAAGAAGAGAAAGTAACTGTAGAGGACTCACATAAACCGAAAGATCGTTCAGTATCACCGAAACCAAGAAACAATACTTTAATAAATAATGTGGAAACCGAAACTGAGCATATTGAAGAAAATAATCAGAAGTTAGATTGTCTAAATGAAAAAACTGAATATTCTGCAACAGCTGTGGCTCAGTCAGTGACTTTTAAGCCCGTGAAAGTAAACTTGAAAAGATCATTGTAAGCATAAATTGAACAACGCTACGTTTACTTCTGTAAATAGTATATTTCTTATAATTATAAATTATATTTCAGTTCCGCGAGAATGTTAACGGAGAAGAACGATGGCAAAAAAGAAGATACCGATGTGACTGCAAATAATGAAACAGTTGTATCGAATAAGGTTTGTCATTTCAACGAGTATTAATCTGGCATCCAAAGGGGTTGAATAATCTCAATCAATTTGGAAAATTATAATTGCTCGGTAAATAATAAGCTAATTACATGCTCATACTTAACAGGAAAATCACGATAATGCCGATCAAGAATCAAAATGTGTTCCAAGAAAACGTCGATGGGGCACTGCATTGTCTACCGATACCACGCCTTCCTTTTCAATATCTACAGATTCATTGAAAGTAATATCTTTATTCGTTATTTATACAATTATGTTACTTTCGTGATTTTAAAGACTTATAATTCTTGTCACATTAACTTATCTTATAATAATGTAATTTATAATATTTATGGATTTTTATATTGTTTCCAGGCATTGGTACCAGGAGCGAGACCACTGTCGATAAACGAGGTCCGTCTGTCAAAAGATGACGACGAAGACAGAGATCGTTTTCGAACCAATGAAAAGTGGTACAACTCTAATGAAGGAACAAATGATAATAAATCTGATAATGAAAGTGTCACGCAAAAGAACGGTGTCGCGAAAAAAGGAGATGGAAAGATCGATAATCATATAGGTATTTAAATAGTTAAATGATCAGCTAACATGTTCTGTTCATTTTTAATTTTAATTGTATTTCATTAGCAGCACGACGGAAAATATCGATCGTGAAGGAAACACCGCATGTGAAATCACCTAGTCCACCGGCTACCAAGCCCACTAATATACTTTTGATCAAAAACTTGGTTCGTCCTTTCACTCTGAATCAAATTAAAGAGCTTCTTTCACGTACTGGCACCATCGTTGAAAATGGCTTTTGGATGGATAGAATTAAATCTAAATGTTTTGTAGAGGTATGTATTTGTTCGAATAATTACAATGGAAAACGTGGAGTAACAAAAAACTGATTCATGTTATATTATTGTCACAGTACTCAAACGAAGACCAGGCATTCGAGACAAGGCAGGCTTTACACGGTGTATCTTGGCCAGTTTCGAACCCGAAGAGACTTCATGTCGAGTATGCAACCAAAGACGACATGGAATTGGCGCGAGAATTGTCAAAGGATCAATCAATTCCAAGGAAAACGGAACCGCTTGTACCAACGGATTCATGGCAACAGGATTGGAACCGAGAGGAAAAGACGAACACAAAGGTAGTAAATTTACAGAAAATATTTTTCAAGTGTTCAACATTTTAACAGTACATCGTTTAAACAACTCTTATACTCAATAGGTGATGGTTGTACGGGAATGGGACCTCGGCAAAGAAGATGGACAACAACACATGAAAGAGAAAGAGCGCGAAAAGAAAGATCACGATAAGAAGAGAAGACAGAGGAGTCGAAGTCCTGCGGTAGAAGCGCATCTTCCAGCTCCAGCTCGTAAATTTAAAAAGAAGGAAGACGAACCACCGCCGGCTAAGCTCTTAGATGATCTCTTTAGGAAAACAAAAGCTACCCCTTGCATATATTGGTTACCACTTACAAATGAGCAGGTACATTGATACATTAAATGATTAACAGATTTTTTGGATGCTATGAATGAAAAATAAGTAGTTATTGTAATATTAAAAGTTCTGTATGATTGTAGATTGTTGTAAAGGAGGAAATGAGAAGGCAACACATGGCGGAACATGCGCGTAGATTAGAAGAAATGAGACGCGCAGAAAGGAACAACAGGGACGGGCGCCGCCGTCGCAGTCCAAGAAAATAGTTCTTTAATCGTCCATTTTCGACAAACGTACCTTTCCTTCTCTAATGCAAACACTCCGATTTTTATCAGTTTCCCATTTTCAAAACTATTTCAGATCGTGGAAACACGAAACAGTAGATCCTCTTTCTTTCTTATCATAACCTATGAACTTTTAAATAAGTTCTCAAATATTAATTTTTCTGTCAATTAACATTCGATTCGTTTACAGACAGTTCTAT